ATTCCTGTTTGCAGACAACATGAATTTTTATATATCTTCCAAAGATTCAGAAAAAAACCCAACCAAACTTTTAGACCTGATAAACACATTCAAGAAGATTGTAGGATTATAAAAATCAGTAGCTATATTAGATGTCCATAACGAAATTACTGAAAGAAAAATCAGGAGAGACATTTCATTCACAATATCCCCATCAAGATACCAATGAGATGCTTCACAGAACTGGAAAAAAATTGTCCTAAAATTCATTTTGAAGGTTAAAATACCCAGAAAAGCCAAAGAAATACTGAGAAACAAGAGCGAAGCTGGAGGCATCACAATTATACTACACAGATATAATAAAAAATTAGGCATGATATTGGTATCAAAACAGACATGAAGATCAATGGAAAAGAATAGAAGACACAAAGAAATTCACATGGATATAGAAATGTGATCTTTCAAAATGGTGCCAAAAACATACACTAGAGAAAAGACGGCCTTTTAAACAAATGCAATACTAGATACATAGGCTTGTGGTTTCAGAGATTCAGTCCGTGGTGGCCAACTCCATAGCTCTTGGCTGGAGGTAAGGCAGAACACATGGCAGAAGGGCACACTGGAGGAAGAGTGCCCAGTTCATGGCATCTAGGAAGCAGAGAGGGAGAGGGGGAGATAGAGGAAGTCCAGCCACACCTTAGCTGCCTAGATTTACCACTCATTAATCCATTCAAATTATTAATTTATCAAATGGATTAATCCATTGATTTGACAATAGCTCTCATATTCTAATCAATTCACCTCAACATTTTCTACATTGTCTTAACACAAGCTTTTGGGGAACAGCTCATATCTAGACCATAACAACAGCTGATAGTATGTAGGTGTGTTTTGTGATAATTCATCAATTTTTGCACTTCAGGCATTCTCATTTCTGTCTGTGAGTATTACAAAGCCATTAAAAATACTTATTTTTAAGAAAGCAAGTTTGGTTTATAACATTTTAAAAAAACAATTAATCACAATAAATAGTCACACATCTTGACCTTCAATAATGAGCACATGATATTCATTTTCTACCAGGCATTGGGGAAATCGAGCTAGAGATATATGGAATAAATTTTGTAATGGTTTAGTGGAAGGCACACATTTTTAAATGGTTATTTTATGGTATTGTGTGAATCCTACACTGATAGAATGTCGACTCCACAGCTTTGGGCAAGAGGCAGATTTATAGAAACTATGTTCTGTTCTCTAGGTCTGATGGAGATGATGAAATATAGTTTATCTCTCTCTTTGGTCATAGAGTAAATATATTAGAGTGTTTCTGGTGTTTTTGAAATAATGGGATTGAGAAATGAGACGTTGGTTAACAAGCTCAACCTCAACATCCCATTATTCCAAACTCAGAATGAACTTTTCTGAAGGTGAACTGGTAAGGCAGTAACCTTTGTGAACCTACAAGTTCCTAATGCAGCCTCTGTTTATTATCATTATTCCTCCAAGGGTGAATTCTTTTATTCCTGATTCAACAAGTAATTCTATCCCCAAGGGAGAAAGGAAATGAAGCAATTATATCCTGTTTGTTCCTAATTTGGAAATGAAGTGGAGGTTGTCTCCTAGGACTTCTGTATGGTTTTCAAAATTAACTCAGACCACTGTTCAGATGCTGTGAAAAAATATATAGCCATATACCTGTCTTTTTTGGTTTTGAACTGATAGCTCTTATGCCTATTAGGGTGGATCTCTGAGCCCCTTAGAGACCCTCACCTGTTTTCACTGTATTCTATGTCTTCTAGAGAGAAACTGAAGAACCTTCACTTGGTATGTAGCTTAAGGTATCCATGCTTACAATCTAAGGGGCCATATTACAGCATGAGGAGAATTTATGTTAAAATGTATAATTGCATATGTTTGGGGTGTATGTGTTTGTATGTGCCCAGCATGTGCTACTTATCTTTAGACTCTACCCCTCTTCACATGAGAGGATGACAGACAGCTCCATGTAGAGTAATTCACCTTGAATATCTAACTAAATTTTGAGAAAATACGGCAAAACCAAATCTCTATGCAGAATACTTTCTATCTGATCCGGTATCTAATTTTTTAAAAACCAGTGAAGAAATATACTTCCTTTGTCTTATCATTAGCTACTTTTAGGTCTTGCTGGGTTTTCTTCCAAATTGTATTCCAAGTCTCTGTAATTTTATTTATCTCTGCTGCCATGATATAAGTGTTATTTTGTACCTAAAGTGCTGCAATATATTCCTGCCCTCATTTTTGCCATACTACAATATGATCTCCACTCAGTGGACTACATGCTATTTAAATTTCTTAGTCAATTTTTTGCTGAAACTTTTTCTTTGGTATATTATTGTCCTGAAAATAAAATTGAAACTTTCCATTATGTCAGAAGGTGCCTTCTATCGTCTGCCTCCTCAACAATTCACCAACCCATATCTGTCAGACTGCCCATGGTCTTGAATTTTCTCCATTCCTCAAATGCCTCAGCCATGACCTCTCCAAACACTTCACTAAAGTGCCAATTTTTAAGATCTTGTGTCAGTTTCTTCTCTTAAGAGCATCTTTTAAAGAATATGTAAAAATAGACATCCTCATCACTGTACATTCCTATAATTTGACCATTCATCAAAATCATGACTATTCTGATTCTATTTCTATGAATTCATCCTGAAGATACATATGTCATCATATAAAATGACTTATAAATAACATTATTGATTGCAACGTTGTTGGAAATAGGATTATAAACAACCTAAATGTTCTGCAGACAGATAATTTCATTTTCATTGTGATGAACTGATTATTAGTCACATGGCAATAAGGAACATAACTGATTGTATAATTCACCTCAAGCAATAGATCCTATTGAGACTATTTTAATATAGAAGGTTACAAGTATTGGTATTTTAAAGATAATTTGAATCACATTGGGGAAATGGGTACCTTAATGTATACTTTAGTTGACCCCTAAATGAGTGATGAGTCACTGAGTAAGACACCTCTGCTGCTCTCAAATACAAAGACCTTAGGATTAAGTCAGTCTATGTAAAGAATATGGGTTGTAACTTTTGGTAGATACATCATCATGTTCTCTTTACCTATTATTCTGTGATTGTTCACGTGGATAAATCTGTGACCCACTGACTCAAAAAGAAAAATGGAGGAATGATCAGCACAGCATAAAAATGTTAGAAATATGACAAAGATATCAGAGAAGATTCAGTGGTGTACAAACTGGGTTCGTAACAAAAAAGTGGTGAAAAGGTTTTATTTGTTGATGCTAGATAGACATTTACAGAGATTTTCTTTGCTGTTCCTGATGACTTGAATAAGAATGATCTGGTTCACTCATACATTGTTGGTGGGACTGCAAATTGGTGTAACCACTCTGGAAAGCACTGTGGAGATTTCTTAGAATCAAATGTATGAAATATGATATGTCAAGAGCTTTGTAATGGGGGCTGGGGATGTGGCTCAAGCGGTAGCGCGCTCGCCTGGCATGCGTGCGGCCCGGGTTCGATCCTCAGCACCACATACAAACAAAGATGTTGTTTCCACAGAGAAATAAAAAATAAATATTTTTAAAAAAAATTCTCTCTCTCTCTCCCTCCCTCTCTCACTCTATCTTTAAAAAAAAAAAAGAGCTTTGTAATGTTTTGAACAACTAATAATTAAAAATAAATAAATAAATAAATAAAAAAGAAAACTTGGAATGGAACTACCATTTGACCCAGCTATCCTGCTCTTCTGTTCATACCCAAAGGACTTAAAATCAACAGAGTACAGTGACACAACCACATCATTGTTTATAGCAGCACAATTCACAGTAGCTAAACTGTGGAACCAACCTAGCTGCTCTTCAATAGATGAACGGATAAAGAAATTGTGGTATATTTACACAATGGAATATTACTCAGCATTAAAGCAGAATGAAATTATGGCATTTGCAGGTAAATGGATGGAGTTGGAAAATATCATGCTACGTGAAAAAAAGCCAATCCCAAAAAAGGCCAAATGTTTTCTCTGGGATAGGTAGATGTTGATCCATAATGGGGGTGGGGCAAGGGAAGAATGGAGGAACTTTGGATTGGGCAGAGGAGATTGAGGGGAAGGAAGAGGACATGGGGGTGGGAAGGATGGTAGAATGAGATGGACATTATCACTCTGTGTACATGTATGATTGTATGAATGGTGTGACTACATTGCGTACAACCAGAAAAAATGAAAATTTGTGCTCCATTTGTGTACAATGAGTCAAAATGCATTGTGCTATCAGGTGTAACTAATTAGAACAAATAATAATAACAAAAAAACGATCTGCTTTGAGCTGAAGAAATACAGGATATAGGATTTGGAAGAGACTCTACATTTTTTTCCACATTCAAGAAAATTTCCTATGAAAAGACTGATGAGAGATTGAAAATGTTGAGTGAATTGTTGAATGAAAGAATTTTTTAATGGAAAAACTTATGGATGTATTAAGGGTCCATAAATATTTTATGACCTTGACATAGATAGATTCCCTTAATGCTCAAAACAAGCCCATGTGGTTCTCTTATCTTGATCTAACTCATGGAAATATAACATTAGTCTAGTGTTTCATAGGCCTGGGGAAGGCAAGAGAGGCCATCAGATTAGACATCTCCCAGGGGTCTCTATTGACTGGTCACTGACCTGGCCTAGAACATAATTTCATAAACTCGTATTTCCATGATGAACTCATGGAATACTCATGTTTGAAGTATATGTGATCTGATAATCATTGAAGTATTTCATGTTTTCTCCAAATGATGTTGTGTTGGTTCCTGGGGGACAAAAATGTCCTTTGTCCCGACCATCTATAGCTCACTGGTGTGGAAGAAAACCTGAGATATTTGAATTAAAATGCATATACTGACTACTCCAAAGCCATGTTTTTATTGTGTAGTAGTCACAATGACTTCTCATTCTTTCACATTTCCATCTCTTTTTTGTCTCCAGAAAAAGAGAACTTGAAGAGCATGAAGAGGGATAATCAGAGCAGTGTGTCCGAGTTCCTCCTCCTGGGGCTCCCCATCCAGCCAGAGCAGCAAGGCACGTACTACGCCCTGTTCCTGGGCATGTACCTGACCACGGTGCTGGGGAACCTGCTCATCATCCTGCTCATCAGGCTGGACTCTCACCTGCACACCCCCATGTACTTCTTCCTCAGCCACTTGGCCCTCACTGACATCTTTTTCTCCTCAGTCACAGCCCCAAAGATGCTCATGAACATGCTGACGCAGACTCAATCCATCTCCTATGCTGGGTGCATTTCCCAGGTATATTTTTTCTTGTCATTTGGGGGTCTCGACAGCTTCCTTCTGACCTCCATGGCCTATGACAGATACGTGGCCATCTGCCACCCACTCCACTACACCACCATGATGAGTCAGAATCTCTGTTTGCAGCTAGTTATTGTGTCTTGGGTTTTATCCTCCACCAGTTCCCTTGTACATACCCTCCTCTTAGCCCGTCTCTCTTTCCTGAAAGAAAACACCCTGCACCACTTCTTCTGTGACCTTTCCACTTTACTTAAGCTGTCCAGCTCTGACACCTCTATCAATAAGCTGGTTATTTTCATTATAGGATCGATGGTCATAACTGTGCCATTCATATGCATTCTGGTCTCTTATGGCCACATTGGGGCCACCATCCTGAGAAGACCCTCCATCAAGGGGATCTACAAAGCCTTGTCCACGTGTGGCTCCCACCTTTCTGTGGTTTCTCTGTACTATGGAGCAATTATTGGTCTATATTATCTGCCTTCATCCAATAATGCTGATGACCTGGATGTCATTGTGTCTGTGTTATATGTTCTGGTCACCCCCATGCTGAATCCCTTTATCTATAGTCTGAGGAATCAGGATATGAAAGGAGCTTTGAGAAGTATCCTCAGTAGAGGAACATTTTCAGTATGATAGACTTTTTTTTTTTTTTTTTTGCTATTATGGATATTAGACCTTCTCAATCCCTCACATGTATCACTTTCTCTCTGAATTGCTGTTTCTTGGTGAATCCTGATGAGGGAGTCTTTATTCAGTCTTGCTTCAATTTGAATTTAGTTTTTTGGCTCTGTTTAATTTTCAGGTGGATCTTAGAGTCTCAGGAAAGGTTTTCACAGACATGTCTGCACATTTTTGCTTTTCACTTAGTATCCTTGTCTTACTAACATTGGAATTTTTATGTGGTCAGAGACTCTTTTACTCCTTTTTAAAAAATTGGATGGTTTTCTTTTTTATCTCACATGATAACACATTTAATTACAAATTAATTTTTTGTGTAAATTGTATGTATACATTTATTTTAAATTTAAAATTGACACATAAAGTTGTACATATTTACAGGTACTCTCCCATTTCTATCCTTGTGTACATATTATTTTCTTAATTTTCTTATATATATTGCCTAATGTTCAGATGAAGGTAGGCATATCCATGACTTGTCATTTCTACTGCTTTGGAAAAGCTTTGAATAGGTAAAGCAAAGAGGATTTCAGGGTGGAAAAATTATTCTATATGATGTTGTAACAGTGGGTACATGTCACTATGCCCTAGTCGAAACAAAGCTGATACAAAAAGGGGGAAGTAATCACAACTGTACAATACAAAGCATGAACTCTAATGTAAATTATAGATTTCAGTTAATAATATAACAATTTTCATTCAGTTTTAACAAATGTATTATACCAACGCAAGATGTCAATAGAGCAGGAGAAAAAATGATGTCAATAGATGAACTATGGCCAGTGGTAGGGAAAAGAACTGTATGACTTTCTGTTCCTTTTTTCTGTAAACCTAAGGCAGATCTTAAATATCTATTTTTGAAAATTATATTGTCTTATATCTTTACTGCCAATGTACAAAAGTTCCAGTTACTTTACCTCTTAAACAACTTGTGTGTTGACAAGGAGATTTTAAAACATGCTCTGCAAGTGTTGGCGAATTAAATGTCATTGTGCTTTGACTTTCTACTTTACTGATCATCAGTGCAGTAACGCATATGACTCTATGTTCACCTGCTACTTTGAACAGAGACGGCTGGTATCTACCCAAATTTCACCTTTGTGAAGTTTCACTAGGAGAGAGCTGCTACATATTCAAGTAATCTATGTGGGTCTCAGTGACATTGTTCCTAGTGAAAGAAAATGTTTGTTATTTCCTGGTCAAGATTAAAAAAAAAAAAAAAAAAACACCACATGGTTCTACTCATCTTTTGGATGGAAACAGATTATCCTCTGTCCATGGAGATAATGAAGCCTGGTTCCTGAATTACCAGATAGTGAAAAGCCATCTACTCACAAGGTGACCTACCCTGTTACATTACAACAACCATCATTACTCTTACTACTAAAATTCTTCATGTGACATAAATGATTATGTCTTTCTTTTGCCTGTCTATTAGGTGGTTTGTTTTTTTACATATTGGATTGTACAGAGACTTTATATAATGTGGATATTAATTCTTTGTCCTTTGTATGCAGTGCAAATGTCTTCCATGATTTTTATATTGTTAAGTTAAAAATATGTGCCAATGGGGCTGGGGATGTGGCTCAAGTGGTAGCGCGCTTGCCTGGCATGCGTGGAGCGCTGGGTTTGATCCTCAGCACCACATAAAAATAAAATAAAGATGTTGTGTCCACCGAAAACTAAAAAATAAATATTATTTTTTTTCTCTCTCTCTCTTAAAAAAATATGTACCAATGTCTCAATTTCACTGTGTTTAAAGTAATTAATTCATCTATTTAGTTGGTGTTCTTGATTTTAATGGGATTATTTGAGGAAATCACCTTGCAATGGCCACCATTGTGTTTTCTAGATACTAAGTAAGAGACATGGCCTCTGGAAAAGGACAGTCTGATAAAGATGGACTTATATTTCTTTTCAAGAAAATGCCTTTTGTTTGCATATAGTAGAGACATCCCAGTGAAATCCCTTCTAGCACAACTCCATATTAACCCAAATTCAACACATACAATTCTTTATGAACAATGTAGTTGTGCAAAATATTGTCAGAGTGTAGGGGATATTTGTGTCTGTGGAAAATAGGAGTCAATTGAGTCCCTTGAATGAAACATATGCACCTAACCTAATAAATACTGTGTGAAAGAAACTGAACTAGATTTCATCAGTTAGCATATCACTACATACATTTTGGTAATTATTCAATGTTACCCAATTATAACAGCACATGAACAGTCCCATCCCTGGATAGAAATTTGGAGTAGCTTTGCCCAGTGAATCATGTCATTGTTCAATCAAATATCTCTCAAGTGTGAAAAATAAAAACATAGGCCATCTTATCTTATGTATCTAATGAGAGTAAGTTGTATTTTCATGTGAAATTTTAAATCCTTCCTTCTAGGCCTTGAAAATCCTTAAAACACAAGCAGTTGATCATTTTTAGTATATTGTGAAGTATAAAGTCATTTAATCATTTTTAAATGTTAATAATGTAGTATTTAAAATTAACTTTTATAGTTTTCCTTTCCTCACTGCTCTTGAATGCCAACTGCAACATATCTGATTTTTGTAGATGTATCAGTTGTTTCTAATGTAGCTGTTATGTCTACATAGTTCTTATACCATATTTTAATTTGTTAATGTACATTTTACCCTCTTAAAAACTTTTAATTTATGATAAATTCTCTTATGAGGCAAGATGACTGAAAAGTAATGTAGACTCTACGATTCATCCTTTCTACTGCTGGCTATAAAGGCAGGAAAACTGAGTGCTTGTGCTGAATAAGTTGAATACATGAAATGGTGTTTAGAAGCATTGCATAAATATTGATAAACACACTATGCAAGAAATAAAATTTTCATTTCATTTATATTTCATGGAATAATTTGAGAAGGATTGGCATTAGTTCTTCTTAAAAAGATCTGTTAGAACTTCATGAGAATCCTGGGCTTTTCTTTTTTAGAAGACTTTTTGTTACTGCTTTAGTGTTGTTACTTATTACTGGTTTGTTTAGGTTTTCACCCCAAGTTCAGGCATGGGGTGCCCTGGCACCTGGGGTGAAGAGGAGCTGCCGGGCACAAGAGGACAGAGCTCAGGGATGTGTTCAGGACTGAGGTCTGCTGTAGAGGGCAAGCTGGGACATGGTGGTAGCTATGTTCTCTGTTCCCCACACTCGTCCCTCCCTGTGCCAGATGCTGAGTGTGGCGGAAGCCCTCAGCAGATGCATGCAGAGCCCCAGGGGTAGCTCTCTCTGAACAAGGTTGTGGCGGTGGCTTCAGGGATTAGATGTTTGAGTCATCTCTTGGCCCTGCCCTCTCTGGCAGCTGTGCTCTATCAATGCACCTACAAAGGTGCAGAGTTGCGTGTTGCTTTCTAGTCTTTGCCCCCCCCCCCAGTGGAGACTCACAGAGGGAGGGAGGCAATGGTGGTGCATGCTGATTCCCAGGCGTGGCTCTCCCTGTCAGTGACTGCCAGCATCCGAGGTATACTTCTCTGTAACCTCAGCCCTCCATAGAAGAGGTTCTGGGGTTGGAGGAGGCCCTCAGTAGATGTGTGAAGCTTCTAAAGCTTGACCCTCCCTACCAGAGGCTCTCACTGTGGCTGCCAGTGTTGGAGATGCATGCCACAATCCTTTCTTTTTCTTTTTTTTATATGATGCTAAATAACTTTTATTTATTTTTTTCTTTCCACATTTTTATTGGTGCATTATAGTTGTACATAATGATGGAATTTGTTGTTATATATTCATACATGCACACAATATAACAATGTAATTTGGCAAATATCACTTGGATGCCACTCTCTTGGCACAACCTCTTTGGCAGATGTGCTTGATGGAGGTGCGGAGGTGCAGAGGTGCATGACGTGTCTCAGGCTTCACCTTTCTTGGCTTAGGCCACAGGCAGCCAACTTTTATCTTGCTAAGTCAGCCTGCTTCAGAGGCATCCTCTATGATATGAACTTACGTTCAACCCAGGACTTTAAACACTCTAGTATACTGTCTTCTGACTCCAAAGGAAGAATTTGTAAGACTCAACAGAGAGGTTTTGGACATGTTATTATGCACTTCTAGGGATACCCTCCTGTCTCCTCTCAGGAGGAAACAGCTAGTCCAAATTTCAAATTTTGTGTTTATGATTTTTGGTTTTGTAATTTATTCCCATATGTATTTGTTTATCTCTGAAACATATATTTTATGTATCTATGACCATGATTTTACTTGCTTGGGCTATCATAATATTAGACAATGGTCTAGTTAGCTTAGACAAAGACAATAGAGAATTATTTTTCCACTGTTCATGAGGCTAGAAACACATGATCAATATTTCAATTGGTTTGGTTTCTTGTTGAGGACCCTCTGCCTGCCATACCATACCACAGCTGCCTTTCATAATGTCTTTCTATAAGAGTATATCCCTTAACATTATTTAATTAATTAGCAACACTGATGGGTAGGGCTTCAATTTATAAATCTATGGGAGAGGAACACAAACATTCAGTATTTAATAATATATTTACATGAAAATTTTTGTTTTTATGTTTTGTCATATTATTGTGGCTGTGTCTTTGAGTGTGTTCCATTACTCAATTATAAGCTGAAGACTTGCATTTTTCTTACATTATTATTTTTCTTAATTTATCTAGTATATTACACAGAATTGCTCTACAATATTTCCTCTGTAAAATTATCACAACTTATTGGTTGTTGAACCTCCCCCCACCCCTGTTTTTCTAATAAGATTATCAGTGTTGCTATGAACCTGCTTATTTATCTACACTGTATGTGTGCAGGACATCTTTGGGGTTTAAACTGATTTTAGAATGCATGATCCATGGCAATTGCATGATCCAATGCAAGTTTCCAATTGTTAATCATAGTGCTCCATTGTTTCTATATTAAAATGATTAAGACATCAATAATACACACCATTGTCTTCAAAGACAATCTTCAAAAACA